AAAATGTCCTGGCTTTATAATGGCAGTGAATGGGGGTCAAGATTTTGAAGCCCAAAAAAGTGCGTCCATCCATCATAAAAAGTGCTCCACACGGCTCCGGGGGGTTAATAAAGGCTTTCTGAAGCGAAGCGATGCATTTGTGTAAGACAAATATCCATATTTAAAACTTTATAAACCATAATCTCTAGCTTCCGCTAACTGTTGTACGCGCATTCACGAGAGATCGGCGTTCCAGCGGATGACGAAGGATGTAGGCGTAACTTAAGCTCCGGTAAAAAGTGTCGACAGGGGAAGCACGGAGGAAAGAGCAAAAAGGATTTGTAAAGAAAATTGTCTGAGGATTTTGATATAAGCCAAGAGGAGACTGGCTTTCCTTTGCTGTAAACAAAACTTGGTTCTCGCGAGACTAGCATATTCTAAAGCTTGGAAGAGCCAGGACATGTTTTTTTTTAAATAACTCCGATTGTATTCATCTGAAAGAAGAAAGTCTTAAACACCTAGGATGGCTTGAGGGTGAGTAAATCATGGGGTAATTTTCATTTTTGGGTGAACTATCCCTTTAATGCTTTTGTGTTCTCTCGTAAAAATAGTGCGTTGCACTGAGAAACTTTGTGTTCATTTGCAAAACATTTGTGTTCTCTTACAAAACATTTTCATTCCCTCACAAAACATTTGAGATCCTCCGAAAAGCTTTGTTTTCACTCGCAAAACATTTTCATTCGCTTGCAAAACTCGTTCATTCGTTCATAAAAATGAGTTTCCATCAGAAGCTTTGTGGTCGCTTGCAAAACATTTGCATTTTCTTACTAAACTATTGCATTCCCCCAAGAAACGTCGCATTTACTCACAAAACATTTGCATGTTTAAAAGCATTTGCTTTCGCTGGCGTCAAGTTTTCCTGGAAACACAATCTGACAGTGTCTTCCAAAGCAGAAGATAAACAAATTACCCAGAAGAGGCATATCCAGATATGTATGGGTGGTTGATATTACTTGTTTCTGTTTTTGTTGTTGCTGTTTAGGCTGTTACACTAATGAAGCCATGGCATACCATGTTTTACTGTGATTTAACAGTAGAAAGTGATGGTAAGCAGCAGATAAGTGCCACAAATGTTCAACAAACACATTTACTGTATTAATATGTCAACATGAACTCAAAATAGACGCTATGTACTTAATACATGTTCCTGATCTTATTGTGCAAGATTTATTAGTGCATAATTATACCAAACAATTAGTTTTATCATTAACACTTTACAATAAGGTTCATTAGTTAACTTTAGTTAACATAAACTAAGGATGAACAATATTTCTACAGTATTTATTAATCTTAGTTAAAGTGCCCCTATTATGGATTTTTGAAAATTACCTTTCATGCAGTGTGTAACACAGCTCTAAGTGAATGAAAACATCCTGCAAAGTTTGAAAGTCTGAAAGTGCACCGTGTATAAAGTTATTTTCTTTCAAAAGAAAGAGTCGACTCTGAATCACTGAAACGAGTCGTTTTTAAAACAAATCCCAAGCCGTTTCATGTTGACGTCAACATGAAACATTAGCATATTGCCCGCCCACTTGTTGGTCTTTTCACGTTGGTCTGAATGAAAATGCAAATTCATTCTTTGCCACTAGGTGCCGCTTTTGGAGCAGTAAAATAACTGTTTCACCGGTAACACTGTACAACAAGAAGAACTGCGCTCACAAACGCTGCTTTATCAGGCATTACAGGCAAGATGAAATGAAAATGAGACCAATCAGACCAATCACGGCAGATTAGCGTCACGCAAAGCAGGGGTTTAGAAAAATGAATCGTTGAGCGAATCGTTTGGGAGTCGTTGAGCAAGTAAGGTAAAAATAAATGCATATTATAAGACAATGAAAGTGTTTTTTGACCTTGCATACATGTCAACCTGTTGTTGGGGACTCCCAAAACCAAAATATGAACATTTCATTACCCATAATAGGGGCACTTTAATGTTAATTTCAACATTTACTAATGCATTATTAAAATCAAAAGCTGTGCTTAACTTAATGCACTGTGAATTAACTAACAATGAACAACTGTTTAGTTAATGACATTAACTAACATTAACAAAGATACTGTAATACATTTATTGTTCATGTTAGTTAATACATTAACATTAACTAATGGAACCTTATTGTAAAGTGTTACCGTTTTGTCTTTATTACGTTTCATCATAATTGTTCTGCCATTTTGACCCAACAGTGTTTCGGGAGACTCCATTCCATTCTCCAGTCAAGTCTTAATAGATAAATGAAATTGTTTTTGTTGAATGCTGTTTAGCTCAGAAATTCATCACATTGTGCTTGTAAAATTAGTTGGAGATGCTGACTTAGATTCCTTCCAGCCTAGTTTATCAGTCTGTAATCTGTTTACCAAGGAATAAAGCAACACACATTAGCAAAGTGGGATGTGTGTTGGGATTCTCCGATTGGTGGAGATTTCTTTGCAGAATCATGAGTAATGTGCCTTTTCATCAGGAATTTATCTGTTAAACATGATTATTTAAAAAAAAAAACACATACCATTGACTAACAACCTCATACCTCATAGCAGGTATGTTTTCAAAGGTTTTGGGGGATTTTTACTTCCAGAACCTGACTGTTGCATTAGAATTAATGTAAACGGCTTCAAATGTGGCTTAGCAAATCAAAATTTTGAGTTGTGTTGTTATACAAATAGTGGACTAGTATCTTTGCAGAATCATGAGTAATGTGGCTTTTCATCAGGAATTTATCTGTTAAACATGATTATTTAAAAAAAAAACACATACCATTGACTAACAACCTCATACCTCATAGCAGGTATGTTTTCAAAGGTTTTGGGGGATTTTTACTTCCAGAACCTGACTGTTGCATTAGAATTAATGTAAACGGCTTCAAATGTGGCTTAGCAAATCAAAATTTTGAGTTGTGTTGTTATACAAATAGTGGACTAGTAAAGCAACATTTACTGAAATTTAAATCTGAGCATCAAAATGGTCATGTGGTTTGACTATCCAGGTGTTTTGTTCATACTTCCTCACAGATCCTCATTTTTTAAGATTAAAATATGATTTACCAGTCATTAAATAGATTTTAACTGGACATTGGGTGAATTTCATTAGAAAAAGGTACTGTAGCAGTACAATGATGGCAGTACTTGTCATATATTTCCTGTGTCTTGGACTTTTAGTTTGTAGTTCTGTGTTTTATTGTTGCCTTGTTTCCCTGCTGCTCTGTTCCCTTGTTTGTTGCCATGGAGACTCATTGGACCACTCCCATCTTCTTGTTAGTTACCACGGTTACTCATTTTCTCATTCTTTCAGCTCTGTGTATATATAGCAGTGTTTCTCTTGTGCTTTGTCAGTCAATGGTCTGTCGCATTCTCTTTTGTTCCCTGCCTATTTTTTGTGTATGCTTGTTGTTTTTCTGTTAAATTAGCTGCATCTAGATCCTCATTTCTCCTCGTCCTTTCCCACATGTGACAATACTATGGTACTCTGATATTTACTATACTATAGAAAGATTACTGTGTGATATTTAGTAGATATATGTGCAAGGCTGTGCATGCAGAGACACACATATGCTTCATGCCTGGACTCCTCGCGGCCCTGCTTGAGTTAGTTAATGTGACAGTTGTAATGTAAGAAGGCTTTCAGATAGTGTGAGATTAGATATGTCGTCATGTGTTAATGAAATTGATTTTTATAAAGGTGTAACCTAATCACAGAGCACGCTTGCTGCAGAGAGTGATGGTGTGAAGATGTGAATTGATACAGTCTTTCTATTGTCAATCTATATTGGCTACAAAGCTCTGGGATCAACTGCAGGTCATTGAAGTTAAAGGGGCGATAGCATAATAAGAGATACATCCCTGTGCAGTCAGCCATATCCACTAAATAAAGCTTAAAAGCCTCTATCAAACCTGAGTGCACATCTATACACTTTATAGAGGATGACTGAGGGCTGATACTTGCTGGTGTTTGCCAAGGCATCGTTCCTGGTTCAGTGACATGACTTATTTTTTGTCCTTGCATTAAAAATACATAATCACTTGAAAACACCTCTTCTAGCCCTACTGAAAAAAGATAGCTAAAAGCTGGTTGGCTGGTCTTAGCTGGCTTGGGCTGGAAGTAGCTGGTTTTAGCTGGTCTCCCAGCCTAGCCAAGCTGGTTTTAGCTGGTTGGTCAGCTGGTCTCACAGTCTGACCAGTCTGCACACCAGCTATGACCATCTTGGGCTGGTTTCAGTTTTTTATTTCTAAATTCAGAAATGTATTTTGCTATTTTTTGGGTGGCACATAGTCAACCATGTCAATTAGATGTGACTGTCCTGATATGATATCGAAGAAAATATATTTATTTTTAAAAAATCATGTTTTTAACCCTCGTGATGTGTCATTTTGACCCTGAGAGGAGTTTCTTTTTCCCGAAAATGCTATTAAAAGTGTTATTGCATTGGACTAAAACTGAATGTCTTTTCTCTCACAGGGTACAAAAACTTCCTTATTTGTTTTTTGTTTTGTTTTTTTGGACTTTTTGGGAGTGTTACACTTTTGGTGCTCCTGGTCAAAAATGACTGGCCTACAAAATATCTCTTATAAATGTCTTATGTTATATTACCAAGTATTGTATTCAGTCTTTTTCATCAACATGTTTCCTTTCAATTAGAACAGGTTTTGTATTTCTTTTGTAACTGATTGATTGCAAACCTCTTTAATCTGAGTTTATGCACCTCAGTAAATATTGGCTAAAAATGGTGAAATTCATTACAAACAACTTCATTAAGGTCTTTTTATGGTTTAGTCTGTAAAATATCAGTTGTGACTCCTTAAAAACTTTAATATTTATGGATTAAGAATTCACAATATCTGTAAAAATGAAATAATAAATAAATAAATAATCCCAAAATGTGAATGTTTTTGTTTGTCCTTTGATATAACCAATCAGTAATGATATATATGTTATCTAATGAATAATGTGTTTTCTTGTGTCTCTGCAGGGCGAATATCGATGAAGTCGAGACTGATGTTGTGGAAATAGAAGCCAAGTTGGATAAGGTATGAACTTTATTTGACATAACTTCATTTCATTTGATCAGTGTCTTCTTTGCCTGTTTTATTGAGATGTAGGTTTTAAGGCCTTCATGCTCAGCTAACTAAGCACCAGCGCATTAGCGCCTGGATAAAGCAGCATAACAAATGTGCGCCGAGCTAAATCCCAGCTCGTACGCCGTACAGGATTAAGGGAAATGGAGAGAGGAACCCATTTAGCACTAGAATGTTGAACATTTGCATCAAGGAACTGCAGTCATGCTACAGCGTGTTAACAGAAGCTTCCAAATCTACATACGAGGGCAATGTCTGCTCATTATTGCAGGTTCATTGCAATAAGAAAAAGCACAGACTTTTAATTAGCATGAAATCAGTGTAAGATGCTCAAATAAAAGCAAGGCTAAGATGCCTGTGTGCGTACATACACCAGCGTTTTAAAGGTAGCGCAAATTAAATGCATGATCGCCCAGCCCTTTGACAGACAGATATTCAACAAATAAACAGGCTACATTTACATTACATTTACATTTAGTCATTTAGCAGACGCTTTTATCCAAAGCGACTTACAATTGGGGGATACATAAAGCGATTCTTCTTAAAGAGGCAAACAGACACAGGAAGTGGTTGTAATACCAAGTTCTTAGACATTGTTCAAATAAGTACAAGCTAGAAAGAGAAGGAATAAATA